TTCTCTCATTTTAACCCCAGTATATATCCCTTATACAAAAAGAACTTGTTTTTCAGTTTTCATTGAATGTCTGTCCTTATTACAGTGTTTGCTGCCTCAGTGGTTTTCAGATATACAAAATAATGAAAGTTCTTCATTTTTCTTTTTAGATAGAGATCACAAATGATGTGCAGTCCCTGTTGCTCGTGATGGTGGCTGTCATGGTGGCCAAGATGATCGGTGACTGGTTTAACCTGCCCTTGTACAGTTCCTTACTGAAGCTGAAATGCATTCCCTATTTAGACTCGGAACCTATTGCTAGCCAGAGGAAAAAATGGTGAGATCTTATTTTGTTGGTTTTAAAGGTTTATGGGCTAAATTCTGTTCTCACATATAGGTGTGGCTCAGGACTTGATGCTTTGAGGTGTTGAATAAAGGAGTAAAGACAAGGTTTTATGTTGCACACATGCAGTGGACAAGTCCTATATATTATTTGCATACCTGTGACATCTTTCTAGATGGATTAAGACCCTACTATGTTAGATGTTATACAAATGCAGAAGAAAATTGCTTATGCTACAAATCTAAATTACCTTGTTTGAAAATTAGTTATGTCCATGATTAGTGTCCTAGCAATGTCTAAGACAGTGCTTAAAATAAAAGTGCAATTGGTTTAATTCTCTAGATTTTAATGGAGGTTTCCTCTGAGATTTCTGAGAGGTTCCTCACATTTGTTCCTTTTTTTAGCTAAATGACTAATGCCTTGGGACAGAGGAATTGCCATACCAGATCTGAATGGTTGTTAGTTGAGTTCATTAATCTGTCTGACTGCTCTGTAGCAAATCTTTATCCTTATAAGAGGTGGTTATATAAAAACTGGTTAATAGGCAGAAGTTTCTTCCAGAATTCAGGCAATTATAGCTCAGAAGTTGAAAGTTGAAAATAAGAGGTTTTATATCCCTTATATTTTTATTTTAACTAATAAAGCTGTATGTATGTATGGGTAATGAGAACTGACAACCGTCTCATTATTCATATGTCCTATTTTCATTAGAATGTTCCCGTGTTCATATCATAAGTGAGAGTAAAGAGGAACTTCTGACTATTTCTTAGCCAGTATTCATTATTTTTCTTAATTGTAACTAAACTGATTATCCTACTTCTTTCTCTGTGTAATATTCACTGACAAGGAGTGAGGTACAGCAATCTTAAGGAAACTTGAGAGTAATCTTTGTTGACTCAGACAGGTTCTTTCTGTTTACCAGTTCTATTTGAATAATATTTCTCCAGAACCAAGAGCTATTTGTAGGTGCCTACTGCTACCCCACTGATTTCTCTCCCTGTTGTGGTCCATTGCATAGACTTGTATCTTCAAATGAACCATTGAAAGAATTAGAAATATCAATGGTTTTGGTGTCCATACTTTGTCACTTTGCTCCAACTTTAGTAATACTTGAAAGCCTGTCTTAGCATGGGGGGGTTCGGCACAAACTAACTGTGTTTGACACAAGGGAAAAGGAGCCAGCAATGTGGTAGGAGGAAATAAAAACAATCTGTGAAATTATGGATGTCCTCTGTATGTAACATGGCAGATAAAATAGAGGGGGAAGAGGCCACAAAGTTTCCCTTAGTATTCCAGTCAGATGACATAGCCGTGGAAAGAATTACAGCTAGTCTCCCGAGTTCAGAGCAAGATCCCATATATATGAAGGCACAGAAAAATATATCATTTCAGTCATTCCACTCCCACTCTTTTCCCTTCCCTCTCCTTCCAGGACCAGTTTTTCAAAGAGCTTTCTGACATGGCTGAGTCCCTTGACACATTAATGGTCTTTTAAATAAGGCAGATGTGTCATAGTCCTGCTAAAGATCCCCAAACCGGATATTCACCAGGCTACTGTGTTGAGTGTCCTGTGTTGGCCTAAATGCTCTTGGTCTGAGTAGGCTGTGGACTGAGTAGACTCTTTACTTGGCCTCTTTGGCATGCTCCCTGGGCACAAGTTTCTTCCTCCTTTGGCTGGTTTGAAGTCAAGCCAAGGTACCTCTGGTCTTGAAAGGATCCCTCTCTGTTCAGACCAACCATCATTTGTCTCGGTGAATCCTTACAAAGGTTCCAGACTTGCAGATTGTGGTTTTTAAAGCCCTCTGTTAATACCTTATTTCTTTGTTGTTGTTTATATGGATGTTATGATTTCTAAATTCCAGTCCCTATCAGAGAGAAATTGTTTTGTTGGGGTTGTGATCATCCTTTTACCTCACAGTGTTCCCATTTGACTGGGATCCACTGAGGTTTAATGGCCTTCCATTGCCCCTAATCCCAGGAAGTGTGTGACAGCCCTGGTGCCTATGATAGCAATGGCAGACTCGACATTCTCTGAGTCATTTAATACTGAGAAGTTTCATAAGATCAACCAGAAGTTAAAAGTTGACACATTTCCCAGATCATTGCAGTAGGAAAGATATATGGCAGTTCAATAACTAGTAATGACTTTGTTTGAAAGCAGCTGATAAATTATCTAGCTGTGTGTGCATGCACAAATAACTGACACAGTGAAGACATCTGTAATTTCTTACTCAAAAGCAAAATCAATTCCATTTGGCTTCTGTACTGAATGAAACTAGAAAGGTTTTGGAATATGATGACTATACATTAATGGAAAGGACAGTAAGTAAGAGGCCTAATTTGGGTGACCACCCATCCCTAATTGGGCAGGACAGTCCCGAAATAGGAAGGTCAAGTCTTGGTCCTGGCTGAATGAATCCAGGGCAGCATTTGTCTTGGATTCCTTGTACCACGTGCAGGGATCTGTTTTTTCTGTTCACCGCAGAAAAATGTGGGAAATGACAGGTTTTGCCTTGAAGGCCAGCAGCATTCCATCCTGCAAGGTGCTGCTTGGGGATTTGGGGAGCAGGATGCCGGGTGTACCATGTGCATGTGTGTGCGTGCTCAAGTGCACGTGGCTGGGGATACAGTCAGGTGTTTGGAGAGTAGTTCCCAGAAAGTAAGTCTATGGTGGGGGTGGGGAGCATAGGTTGAGGCCTCCACAGTGAGGGAGGCAGTGGGGCAGAGTTGGTGGCTGGGGCTGGGGTGTTGCCCAGCTGAGTGGGTGCATGGGGCCCACAGCTGGGTTGGGAATGCATGGCTGCAGGGACAGATGGGGAATGGGGAGGCATGAGCAGCTCATCCAGGGGGTTGTGGGGGTGAGGGGAGGGCTGGTTCCCCGTTGCTGGTGCATTCCCGGGGAGGGGGCACATACCCCCCCCCCCCAAATTTGTGCATGTGCTGGGGTGGATGCAGGCTGCCTATTTATGGGCTCTGGGCTCCCTACCTTGCTGCCCTCCCTCCAGGGGCTCCATGGCCCAGCAGGTTGGACCTAGCATGGGAGGGTGTGGAGGCTCAGTGCTGCTACTGTTGAGAGTCCTGTGCTGCCGTGTTGATGTGCTCCCTGTCTGCCCAGCAGCGGTGGGGGGGTGGTGGTGGTGGCGGCACTGAGTTGTGCCCTCTGTTGCTGCTGGCAGCACCCCCAAGGCAGGGGGTGCCTTGCGATTGGTGATACGGGGCTCCGAGGGGGAGGGCAGCAAGGCAGGGAGTCCTGAGCCTGCAGTGGGCAGTCTGCATCTTTCCCTGTTCCTCATGGGCTCTGCTCCAGCCATGCTGCGAGGGGAGTGGGGTGGGTGGGTGGCAGGAAGGCATACATGTGTCCCACCTTTCCATTTTGAAAAGGTGGTCACTCTAGGGCTAATGTGATTCTCTGCCCCAGGGTTGTGAGGGGTTAAGCAGAGAGGGGTAGGGCCACTCCAAGCCCAGGAAAACCAGACCCAGACCAACCCAGATAGCTGGATTGAACTATAGCCCCTAGACAACTTTGAGGACTAGCAGGAAGGCAAGTGGGAGTGAGGAGCTGCAAGGCGGGAAGCATGTTGTCCAGAGCCGCATGGAAGGCCCTGCTCCCTAATATGCTCCATGGAAGGCCCTGCTCCCTAATATGCTCCATGCACCATTGAAAGAGGCCCCAGGGAGATTGTGGAGGAGCCTGATCTGAGTGTAGCTGGGAGAAGTATTGACTTCTTCCTCACTTAGAAGATTGCAGCAGACAGAGAATCTGACTGCTGTGACAGAGCAGGGCCTGAGTGAGATGCACTTAAAAGACCACAGAAAATATTGGAAGTAGTGAAAGTCCTTGTTTCATCTGGGGAAGCTGGGGCTGTGCACAAGGTAAAGAGACTTACCCCAAAGGGTCCTTGTGAGACTGTTGGAGTTGGAATTTTAAGTCGTACTGTTGAAAGGGGTCATTTTGTTTTCAGGCTTCCATACTGGGTTTCATGGGTTATATTGCAGATTGCAATTCTAGTGCCTATGGCTGCTTGTTCACGTGATGCCATTACCATGCATGTGTGATGAAAATGTCACTTTGTGTGGCTTAACAGCATCATACTGTACACGTGCAAGTGTTTTGGGGGTTTTAAATGAGTTTGCATTGCATCCCGATGTAGTTTAGTGTGCAGTGTTGCAAATTGCAGTAATGCAGGTGTCTGCTCACTACCCAGATGTGGGAGCAGATGGCAGGCTACGCCGGGGTGGGGAGAGGGGGAGAGGATTGGCTCCCCTGCTGCTTTTGCCTTCAGGAGGCTCCTGCGGCTGGCAGGACACTTGGGGCTGCATGGGAATGGCCTGGCTTGGCCCTAGGGCAGTGTGGGAAGGCAGCAGGAGAGCGTCTGGGTTTGCTGGTGGCAGGAGAAGATGGCAGGGATAGTGCAGAGGGCACTACAAGTCTGGGCAGGTTGCCAACGGCTGGGTGCTACCATAGCTTGGAGGCACCCAATCCAATACTTTCCCAAGCCCACCTGGGCTTCCAGGACCCTGTGCACCATCTCCACCACCTTCTCTGGCTGCTAGCACGCTCAGCTGCCCTCCTGCTGTCTTCTTGCACTGCTCCAGGGGCAAGCTGGGTGTGCTGCTAGCCAGAGAAGGTATCAGAGACAGTGCATGGGGTGCTGGAAGCTTGGGCGGGCTCAGGAAAGTGTTAGATCAGGTGCCTCTGAGCTGAGGCAGCACCTGGTTAGCTAGCAGCCTGCCTGTGTGGCCCCACATCCCATGCATCATCCCCACCACCTTCTCCAGCCACCAGCAAACCCAGCCACCCTCCTTCTGCCTCCCTGCATTGCTTCAGGGGCAAGCCAGCCTGTTCCTGGGCGGTCCTAGGCATCCTCCCGGGTGGGCTGCTAGTGTGCTGGGTGCTGCCTCAGCTCAGGGTTGGGGAAGAGTTGTACTGAGTTGGATGCTGCTTCTGAGCTGGAGCAGCACTTGGCCTGCTGGCAGCCCACCCAGGCGACCCC